ATCTCCAACTTAATCTGAGCAAAGACATTCCTTGCAAACCTAGAATGGAATCCAGGAAATGGTCTAAAAACGCAACCTGATCCCGGAGATGGTACGGTGTTCTCCATGTTTTTCATGCAACATATGCTGCATGTGCTGTTCACAAGGACCAGCCCTATAAAGTACACCCCCAAACCTGGTTGAAACATGCACATAACAACGTAAACAGGATGCCGCGACTCACGACAGCTGAGAGGATCCAGGCGCTAGGAAGACTTTAAGCTGGCCACAATGCACAAGCCGTTGCCAATCACTTCCAGGTCAACGTTCGGATCATTTACAAGCTGCAGCAACGTTTACGGGCCACCAACACCGAGCCCGTACTGGCAGACAAAGGGTGACCACAAGACGACAAGACCGCCATGTTGTGCGACAGCATGTACAGAATCCCTTCATGCAGGTATCTGAAAGAGCAGGCCAGACAGTGGGAACACACGGAAGACCAATCAGTACTGATGCAGTACGCCGACGTCGTAACAGCGAGAACCTCCATTGCCGTAGACCTTACAGTGCACCTATCCTCACCCCTCGTCATCGGCGTGAACGTCTACAGTTTGCCCTACAACACCAAAACATACAGGCAATGGGGAGCTGTTCTGTTCACAGATGAGAGCCGGTACTGCGTATCAACTGCAGATGTCAGAACTAGAATATTACTCAGACCAATGTGTTATGGAAAGAGACATGGGGAGGTGCAAGCATCATGGTATGGGATGGAATAGGCCTGAACCAGAGAGTGGATCCTGTGGTGTTCCAGAACCTTGGTCCAGGGAGAAGAGGCGGCATCACAGTGGTGCGCAACATCGACCAAGCTCTCAGACCCCACGTCATACAACATTTCGCACGTCACCGGAACAACATTTTCCAGCATGATAACGCCCGGGCCCATACTGCCCGAGCTACACAGGACTTCCTACAGCAGAACGGTGTCAACATTATGCAGTGGCCAGCCCTTAGTCCTGATTTAAACCCAAATGAATATCTTTGGGATGAAATTCAGAGGAGACTGAATAATGTCACACCAAGGCCGAACACACCCGATTTATTGTGCCAGGCTTTTCTCAGAGTGTGGTTCCAGGTGCCAGTGGCCTTCATCAATCGATTGGTGCACTCCATGCATAGACGCTGTGCTGCAGTTATTGCCGCTCGTGGTGGTCACTAGATACTGAAGACAAGAGTCTGAATGGACTGCAAACGTTCACGTAATGTCTTGAAACGTTATTCATTGATGTGTCAAGATATTGTACACAAAAACGTTTTTGATCCGCTTATTATGTCCATTTCTGTAAGGATTTGATTACAGTGCCTATCTAATTTTGAATTCGTACTGACGTTTTCTTTCTGCTGCTGAGTATATAATACTCAATGAAACGCTGATCATAATCAAAACATCAGACTAACTCTTTCGTTTTTGCAGAATTTATGTCCTAAAAATAAAAAAAAGTTGTTTAACAAATTATCATTAAAATTTTGACACGGTTCACTATTTGTTACGAGGGAGGAGTGCAAAGAGAGGAACGGCCAGGTGTACGAGAAGCATGTGCACAAGTGCCAATAAAGTTACAGATTAATTTACCTGTGCTGTGCCGTCTCCATCCTTCCTCGCACACCTGGCTCTTCCTCTCTTTGAGTATTATAATATGTTTATTAGTTTTTTGAGTTATATTGCTTTTGAGCCAAACGGACTATAGCTTACAACATCGATCATTGGTTGACCGCAGAACACACCAGCAATGGGCGATTGTTGAGTAATGGTTGATAAATTGAACGAAGCGTCTCGAAAATCCACATATCGATTTTCTCACTGAACGTTATTATGGACTGGAACTGGAGCGCCTTGAGCATGCACTAGTGCGTGGATATGTGCGCTATATAAATATCCCATATAATCCTATATAATAAACTATCAGTTTCTCAGAGATTGTCAGGACGGAACGTGATGTCAGAGCTGGGCAACGAAGAAGACACGCACACCCGAATTCTCTTTATATGCCTAGAACGAGTTCTGTGTGTATGCCCGCCTGATGAACGAGTTCTGTGTGTATGCTCGTCTGATGAACGAGTTGCGTGTGTATGCCCGTCTGATGAACGGGTTCTCTGTCTATGCCCGTCTGATGAACGAGTTGTGTATGTATACCCGTCTGATGAACAAGTTCTGTGTTTATGTCCGTCTGATGAACGAGTTAATGTGTGTATGCCCGCCTGATGAACGAGTTTGTGTGTATGTCCGACCGATGAACAAGTTCTGTGTGTATGATCCGAGTAATTAACGAGACTCAGTTCATTGTGTATGTCCGACTGATGAACAAGTTCTGTGTGATGAACGAATTGTATGTGTATGCCCGTCTGCTGAACGAGTTCTGTGTGTACGCCCGTCTGATGAACGCGTTGTGTGTGTATGCCCGTCTGATGAACGAGTTCTGTGTGTATGCCCGTCTGATGAACGAGTTCTGTGTGTACGCCCGTCTGATGAACAAGTTGTGTGTGTATGCCCGTCTAATGAACGAATTCTGTGTGTATGCCCGTTTAATGAACGAATTGTGTGTATGTCCGTCTGATGAACGAGTTGTGTGTGTATGTCCGTCTGCTGAACGAGTTGTGAGTGTGTGCCGTCTGATGAGCGAGTTGTGTATGTACGCCCGTCTGCTGAACGAGTTGTGTGTATGCCCGTCTGCTGAACGAGTTGTGTGTATGCCCGTCTGATGAACGAGTTGTGTGTGTATGCCCGTCTGATGAACGAATTGTGCGTATATGCCCGTCTGATGAACGAGTTGTGTGTGTATGTCCGTCTGATGAACGAGTTGTGTGTGTATGTCCGTCTGATGAACGAATTGTGTGTATGCCCGTCTGATGAACGAGTTGTGTGTGTATGTCCGTCTGATGAACGAGTTCTGTGTGTATGCCCGTCTGATGAACGAGTTCTGTGTATATGCCCGTCTGATGAACGAGTTCTGTGTGTACGCCCGTCTGATGAACGAGTTCTGTGTGTATGTCCGTCTGATGAACGAGTTCTGTGTGTACGCCCGTCTGATGAACGAGTTCTGTGTGTATGCCTGACTAATTAACGAGACTCAGTTCATTGTGTATGTCCGACTGGTGAACAAGTTCTGTGTGATGAACGAATTGTTTGTGTATGCCCGTCTGCTGAACGAGTTCTGTGTGTACGCCCGTCTGATGAACGCGTGGTGTGTGTATGCCCGTCTGATGAACGGGTTCTTTGTATATGTCCGTCTGATGAACGAGTTGTGTGTGTACGCCCGTCTGATGAACGAGTTCTGTGTGTATGTCCGACTGATGAACGAGTTCTGTGTTTATGTCCGTCTGATGAACGAGTTCTGTGTGTATGTCCGTCTGATGAACGAGTTGTGTGTGTATGTCCGTCTGATGAACGATTTCTTTGTGTATGTCCGTTTGATGAACGAGTTGTGTGTGTATGTCCGTCTGATGAACGAGTTCTATTTGTATGTCCGTCTGATGAACGAGTGGTCCGTTACCCACCCACTCACTGATCGCTCATAATTGTGCTACTTCAGACAGTGTATTATCACTCACGAACGAGCTCACGCAACAGTAAACACGTGAAGATCTGGGTTAGAACTGAAATTCTAAACTGTGCTTGTCAAAAAGAGCGACTAACAGGATTGGGTCGGACTTCGTGGAGCTGGAATATTGTTCAGTGCGGTGATATACTCACAAAGACAAGTAGATATGAACACATTCGTCTGACATCAAAATGAAAACAGAAAATACCATCAATGCATTTATTTATTACATATATATTAATTTATTTACAATATACACGATACGTCTCGTGTAAATGCAGAACTGACAACAGTCACGTTGGTTTTGTACCGGAACATTATGCGTTTCCTCCCATATACCGATTTGGGCGATTATTTCACAAGTGGTTGTTTTTCAACTTTTTTTATTCACATCAGCAGGTACATTCATTTTATACAAAAGTCATACCAAGTTGTATATTTACGGATCATCTAGGCTTGAGCAATTAGGTAAGTCAGTGCTGTGGGTAATATTACCTGTTTGCTCAAGGGTTCATTTGGTTTGTTTTCATTATAGCAACATATCATTCGGGGTAGCCAAGAGGTAAGAACGTTCATACATTGTTATACAGATGTCATGCCTACTACAGGCTTGTACATGTTGATAATTCACAACACATCAGTCTTCAACCATGAGTAGGTACTTCAAATATTACTACACAAAGATCATACATTGTACACCTTGACGAGTCATGACACATCAGACCATGTTGTAAGTAATGGGTGCCCGTTTGCTCCACATTCCACATTATTTCACAAGTTATTTTCATGCTATACCGTCAAACACCATTGTGTTGAAGTTGAAGTTACCTTCGAAAACACTTCGACTTAGCGCATGTTCGACACAACCCCGAAATGATGACAACATAAGGAATACGCAGGGAATAGGTTTTTACTTCCAGACAACTGTACGTTCGACATATCAATATTCGACAAAAAGATGTTCGACTGGAATATTGTGGAGAGCCAACCGGTGACTTAAAGCGATACCGATGATACGCTGACCACTGACAGCCATGCTTTCAAGTCACGTGTTAAAAAGTCCATAACTCAGTGATACAAGGTTCCGGATTGGTTATGCTAATACACGGACAAGTATCGATCGATTTTTGCGGGTGCAGAGAGGAAGTTATTGCAGGCACACTGTTATAACTTTAGAAACACAACATCGTCTGAGTGATTAAATTTAGGAACGCGAGGAGCTCCTGTCACTTGTTTCACATTGGCCTGAGAAGACAGACCCGTGAAGATCCGGGTTAGAATTTGTCTTCAGCAACCCATACTTGTCGAACGGGATCGGGTGGTCAGGCTCGCTGACTTGCTTGTCACATGTCATCGTATCCAAACTGCGTAGATCGATGCTCATGCCGTTGATCACTGGATTGTCTTGTTCCGACTCGAGTATTTACAGCCCACCGCCATACAGCTGGAATATTGCTGAGTGCAGCGTTAAGTCTCGAACAAACCAGAAGTAAGGAAACGGTTAAAAGAACCGCATATTGGTACTGCCGACACAATCAGATTACTCTGTTTTACCCCCATTCATTTCCTAAAGTTTAATTCTAAATGAGTTGACATCCCTGCCGTTGTAGATCACCTTATGCCACGCTCGGATAAACTCATAATTTTGTGAGGTGATGGTTTGTCTCCCTTATTTTAAAGCATTAGCTGTCTTCTCTACAAGTAGTACGATCTTATCAACTGTCTCACAGAGGTGGAAATATCGCCAAAGAAGCGTTTCTCTGTCATTTCAGCTGCCACAGTGCGCAAGACAGGAAGTGTGAGGAGCATCTTTCCAAATCTCGCGGGATTATGCTGATGAGCTTGTGTGACGTAGTGTGCAAGGGCTAGTTGTGCCTGATCCTGAAGTGTCTCAACTTTGGTTGGTTCAAACAGACGTTCTGACTGATCTGAAGAAAGAAACAATCTTTGAAAGAAAACGTGATTATGAATCTCTATTCGTTACACGCTGCGTGGAAGGTATTTGAATGCATATGCGTTCATATGTAAATGACATTTAGCAGTGTTTAATCAGCTTTGTTTAGTTTCTTTCTTGTTGAGGTAGCCTAGTGGTTAAAGCGTTCGCTCATCACACTGAAGACCTGGGCTCGATTCCCCACATGGGTACAATGTGTGAAGCCCATTTCTGGTGTCCCCCGCCGTGATATTGCTGGAATATTGCTAAAAGCGGTGTAAAACTAAACTCATTTACTCTCTTTCTTGTTTGTTGGCTTCAATCCTGGTTCCCTGGGTATGCTGCGCTGGCGCTTCGCTGACCACGGCACGGACTGCACAATGGCGCCTTCCATCGTTGTATTGTGTGCAAAATTTCGTGACAATAGCGCGTTGACACAAAATATCAAATCACGTCATCGATTACATTTCGCCCATGTAAGGACGACCTTCAGGTCACGAAACTGCTTAAATAACGTTGTCATACTCTAATGTGCGGCATTTTGGTGACGTAAACTTTGCTGTGGTAGCGGTGAAAATAGTAAGAAAATCTCTAACCATCCGTTCTTGTTTTGTTCTACAGTAAATGTATGGCGTGTCGTCTAGAAGTGGAGGCCGCCATTGTGCAGGCCTTGTTGGGATCAGTGAAGCGCCATCGCAGCATACCAACGGAACCAGAATGGCTAGTTTCACACTAAAGTGTCTTTAGAGACTGATTCCCGGTTACCTTTCAGTTTCACCTTAGGAATCGACACGTAGCAGAAAGTGTAGGCTATTGCATGTCCACTTTTATGTACAAACTTAACCAGTCACATTTGATCACCCTTGAATGTTATGGTAGAATTTAGGATAACATACATGTATATCCAATTCACACAATGCTTTTAACTGCTTTGAGTGAGTGAGGAGTGAGTGAGTTTAGTTTTACGCCGCACTCAGCAATATTCCAGCTATATGGCGGCGATCTGTAAATAATCGAATCTGGACCTGACAATCAAGTGATCAACAGCATGAGCATCGATGTGCGCAATTGGGAACCGATGACATGTTTCAACCAAGTCAGCGAGCCTGACCACCCGATCCCGTTAGTCGCCTCTTACGACAAGCATGGGTTACTGAAGATCAATATTCTAACCCGGACCTCCACGTGTCTTAACTGCTTTGAAATAACAAGTATTGCTATATAATTATAATGAATATTGTAGCTAGTTAAAAGTCAAATCCGGAAAAATGCCATCATGTGTTTGAACCTTTGAAGATTACAAATGAACTTACCCTGCCGGAGTAGAACAATTGTTTCCAGGAACGGTAACTCTGTAGAGTCTGCGTGAAGCGTCTGGCACGTGGTGATGACCTTCTGAACGCAGGCAAGGTCATCGTCCCTGTCGCTCTGGAATATTACAAGGTCAGGTGAAGGTCAGTAAACATGTGGCGGTGCCATGGTTAGGGTCATGAAGGTGAAATTGGGTTTTACGTCGCCTTGGAGAATATTTCGCTCATATGACGACGTGCATGCGTGTGTATGTGTTTGTGCGGCTGCTTGTACTAGCCCAGACTTAAGCTGGTTTTATAGTGCTAGCCCACTGAGATACCATGCCGCAGTGAAGCATGAATACCCCACTCAGACACATTATACTGACTCTGAGCCGACCAGTCCTTGTTGTACCCATTAATGCCGAGCGCCAGGCAGGGACCAACAAGTACCATATTTTAACGTCTTTTGGTATGACGCGGTCGGGGATCGAACCCGCGACCTTCCGCTCTCCGGGCGGACGCTCTAACCACTACACCACGGAGGCGGTCGGTTAGGGTCATGAACAATCATGGTTGTTAATGAATAAACAGAAAGTTATTAGTTATGGGTGATGAAAACTGTAGAAATGCTTTACTGTCGTAAAATATATTTGGAGATGCTTTTGGGATAGTTGTATAAATAACATGTAGGAAAGATCGGTGAGAGGTGCAACACTTTTGGCGGTGAACGTTCCTCGTAAAGCAGTGAAAGGAAGATGTACAAGCTATGGGGAATTGCTGATGTACGGGGAATTGCAGATTGTCTGTCCCGAGTGAAGTTGGAGATATACCATACGATGAAATCTCTGAGTAAGTATGATTTTACGCCGATTTAACAATATTCTAGCAATATCACAGCAGGGAACACCAGAAATGGGCTTCACATATTGTACGCATGTGAGTGATTGAGTTTAGTTTTACGCCGCACTCAGCAATATTCCAGCTATATGGCGGCGGTGTGTATATAATCGAGTCTGGACCAGGCAATCCAGTGATCAACAGCATGACCATCGATCTGCGCAATTGGGAACCGATGACATGTGTCAACCAAGTCAGCGAGCCTGACCACACTGATCCCGTTAGTCGCCTCTTACGACAAGCATGGGTTACTGAAGATCAATATTCTAACCCGGACATTCACGGGTCGTACCCACGTGAAGAATCGAACCCGGGTCTTCGGCGTGACGAGCGGACGCTTTTAACCATTAGGCTACTCCACCGCCCCTCAAAACCATTCAGATTCTGGCTAAACGGGAGTTCTGTCAACGCTGGACCATATATACGGTTCCGAAATTACTGTGATTATGAGAAATGTTTGTTTCAACCTTATCTTTATTTCCTCGTTCTTTAACCCTGCTATAATTTCACTTATGCAGACCTCTGTCTAAACAGGACTAAATATTTGGTTCCAGGAAAAGTTGGTTTAGACTGCATCAACTGTTGTATGTTTTCAATAGAGAGATAAATATAATTTAATTTGAACCAAGCCTGGGGTTTCAAACAAGTTTAACTTTGTGAATTAACCTATCAGTATGGGGGTAAACCTCATCCCACTCGGAGCGATTTCATGAATACAGCGTCTCTCTTTACCATTCCTTGAGAATTGTATTTGGTATGAAATGGAATGGTACTTACATCTTTTCCCGCGTTCTTCCTGGCCAGTCTGGAGATATCTATAGGCCAGTACGCAGCCGCAAACAGGAACACCTCGCTCCACTTGCTCTCGAGGAGAACTAGTTGGTCGTGCGGATGTAGCGATTTGAAAATGTGGTTGTAATGAGTCCGGCGGAGTGCCGTGGCTAGAATCTGTTGCGCCGTGGAGTACAGCAGGCTGTTGGGGTCGCTCATGATGTTGGAGCCTGTCGGAGAAGTAGTTGCAGTTGTTACAATGATAACATATGTTATATGTGGGATTACACTTTCTTAATAAAGTACAAATTCTAGTACTTTTAGAGTTGAGCCCCATCCGGGATTCGAACTCACACCCTCAGAGTCAGGCACCTAATCGCCAGCACACAGAGTCAGCCGCCAAACCCGCTCAGCTACCGCGACTTCCACCAAAAATGGAAGTCGGACAACTGGTAGTCTACACTGCGGGCTTTGTGTACCCCTCTGATGAGTGTTAATTGTTACAATGATGATGATCAACGTAATCTTAACAGGCATTTTTACTATGATATCGCGGCGTTATTCTCCACTCGGTCAATCACACGAACATAGCTTTATATGGTCCTGTAGTGAGTGAGTGAGTGTGGCTTTACGCCGCTTTTAGCAATATTCCAGCAATATCACGGCGCGGGACACAAGAAATGGGCTTCACAAGTTGCACCCATCCGTGTCTTCAGCGTGACGAGCGGACGCTTTTAACCATTAGGCTATGCCAACACCCCGGTCTTTACTGAAACGGGCTCCAGGAGTGAGTGAGTATTACTTTTAGCAATATTCCAGCAACATCACGCGCAGGACACCATAAGTAGGCTTTACACATGATACCCTTGCTCGGGAATCGAACCCTGGTCTTCGACGAGACGGACGAACGCTGTAACCATAAGGCTACCCAACCGCCTAGAGAATGATGACGTCCCGGGCGTGTACAAGTATCAATACTGTATACTTGGCTCCGAGGAATAAAATATATCAGACGTTCGAGCCCGGTGATAGCGGTTATTATATCTCACGACCCGTGAAGATCTGTGTTAGAATTCGCGACTAACGGGATCTGGTGGTCAGGATCGCTGACTTGGTTGATATATGTCATCGTATCCCAGTTGTGAAGATCGTTGCTCATGATGTTCATCACTGGATTGTCTGGTCCAGACTCGATTATTTACAGACCGCCATCATATAGCTGGAATATTGCTGAGAGCAGCGTTAAACAACAAACCAAATCAAATCACGTTATACGGGGTCACTGTGACGTTACGCCAACGTACTCTTACCTTCAATACGCTTCATGACCTCTGACCCCTCAGCCGCCCCCGCCATCCAGTAGGGTATCGCATATGGTGTCGGCCATGTTGGTATCGCACCACGTGGGACAACGGGTTTAAACGCACTAAAGTAGGAGCTCCAGGCAAGACGTTGCACGTTGCTGCCCAACACCGATTTGGCATCCAGTGGCTCCCCTTGGTGCATATATGATGACGTAGACGTCGCTATAGCAACGGTGCGGCGAGATGTGGTAGAAGCTGGATTCTTGCGACAGCCTTTGTTCTTTCTTGGCCCCCTTTCCTCCTGGACAGCTGAAAAGGGAATTTCGATTGTTGAGTATATGACATTGACATTGTGGCATAAGGCGAGTTGCCGGCCCAGTCTCCTGAGTGCAGGGATTCTGTGCGAGTTCGTTCAGGCATGAACAAACCCTAACGAATCTGAATCCCGAGATCCGTATATTATGGATGTGAATGTGGGACTGGCAACGGCTCCAAGATGTACACCAGACTTAAAAGGATGTGACTCCAGGACTGACTACCACCCCGAAAGGGACGCAAGACGTACAGGATGTGATTCTAGCACTGGACACTACCCAAGAGGAACACAAGGCATAAAGGATGTGACTCCCTATCAATCTAGGGACACAAGACGTTAAGGATGTGACTCTTCTTGGACTGGCCTTTACCACGAGCGGGACACACAGGACGTAAAGGATGTGACTCTTGGACTGGCTTTTACCACGAGCTGGGCACACCGGACGTAGAGGGTATGACTTCAGGACTGGCCGTCACCCTGAGCGGGACGCAAGACGGAAAGGATGTGATTCCAGGACTTACCACTACCAAGCTAGGGACACATAGGACGCAAAGGATGGGATTCTAGGACTTACCATTCTTATTCATGTTGACGGCAAAACATTTCTGAAGTCGGCAGTATGGACACCAGTTCCTCCGTGCCTTGTCGATCACACAGCCACCTTTACCTGTCGGCAGAAACCAGCAGCTGTTAGTGTGCATGCCCGTATATGCATGGAGGTCATTAGTTTACTGGGGAACAACGAGTAAATCTATCTGACTCTCATGCTTCAAAAGTTAACGTGTGGCTTAATAACAATTACGATTGGATGGAGGACGGTCTCCAAGCAAGATACAACTGTATGGAAAACTTAAAATATAACGAAGTATTGCAGGTAGTTCAGAAACAATTTGCTTTTTCTCTCTCTAAAAACCAGGACTTGTGCCTATAAACAAAAGACATTGACGCAATTCCCTACTTCAAAACATAAACAGACAAACGCTGATGTAGACTCACCTACACAACTATAAACGGACCAAGGCTAGTGGAAACTGGCCTACACAACTATAAACGGACCAAGCCTAGTGTAAACTGGCCTGCACAAGTTTAAACTGACCTATGCACGTGTAAGAGATCCTCTTCCGGATGCTCCTCTTGAAGAAGCAGCTGCAGCCGTCGCAGCAGTAGACGCCGTAGTGTTTGCCGTAGCTCTTGTCGCCGCACACCTCGCACGCCACGGGCACAGGTAAAGTCCGACCTGAATGTAGAGGCAATGTATCATATGAAAGTGTGTACACACATTACACATATATATCCCACAATGAAAACAGCACAGAGATCCTATGAATCAGGGCCCCGTTTCACAAAGCTATCGCAGCGCTATGACTGTCGTAAGTCTATATTACAGGGCCTAGATTTTCGAAGCTCTTTCACTGGCAAACAAGAATAAGTTGGACCGGCGCAGAGAGCGCGTCTACGAGAAAAAGGTGGTGCACGGCAATGAGCAAACCCATTTGGTTTGTGAAAGGTAGAGCAGATGTAGGCTTGTGCACGTACATTACATGACGAGGAAATTGATTCAGCGCGTAGCTGCACACGCCTTGCGCCTTGCTTCACCCATCGCACTGCACTCGATCGCGGACAACCTTGGGTCCCTTCTCTAACAATGGCAAGCGCCAGTGGGCGGCACTCATACATGATAACACGGGTCAATTGTCAGGTCGGTGCTCAACTTATCCTTGTTTGCTAGTGGCGCTGAGATAGTCGTATGTTAATCTTAATGTATGGCACTTACGACTATCTTAGCGCCGAGAGAGCTTCGAAAATCTAGGCCCAGTATAGGAGGTACGACCGTCGTAGCGCTACCAGTCTAAGTAAACTTAGGCTCAGTATTATTCGTTACACTGCTATACCGAGTCTAACAAAACCTAGTACATGGTCGTGTCAGCTAACCTTTTGGACTGACCAATCAGAACACAGCTTACCAAATCGCGAAAACTCATTTAAACGTTGTACTTAAAATGTGAATGAATGCAGACTTGGTCTCTTCGCTATATGGCTTCGACTTCGAATTCCTGGTAACCATCAGCCAGTTCACAGATTTTTAATCGTCTCTGATTTACTTATTAAGTAACATGCGATATTCATGCATTTTCTGTTTACATCCAATATTTATTTGTTTACTTAGCAATTAGGTAATGAACTGCTGACGAACCCTTTTTGTTAAGTTCTATTCTGAATTGCATAGAAATTTTAAATGTTTTTTTATCTAACATGGGCTATATTCAAGAATACCAGGTCTTTTTCGGACATTTCCTAGTTGTTTAAAACCGCAATAGTCCAGCTGTAAGAGGACCGTGGACCACATAAAGTGACGGATCATGACCAGCAGTTTAAACTGGAATTTTGTCTTTATGTATCTGATCATGAACACGCAACTTTTCTTTGGTTATACATATTTACCTTCTCTCCATGCACATGGCACATTCGTTATATCAACATTGTTTCAACATTGACGTTTTTCTCGTAAATTTGAAAATGTATTTATATCTGACAAGGAGTTGATAATTGATATCAAATGTTGGTTAAATGCCGACATTGCAATGCCATTTGAACTTTCAAATAAAACAAAAAAATAAGTGTTACTTAAACGATCGGCATTGTCGGACATTGATATCTGATGTTAGGATATGTCATAATGATTACATTGTACTTGGAGTAGAGCTGTAGCAAGATCAAATGTGTGCTGATTAAATTGTACTTGGAGAAGAGCTGTAGCAAGATCAAATACATGGTGATTACATTGTACTTGGAGTACAGCTGTAACAAGATAAAATACATGGTGATTCATTGTACTTGGAGTAGAGCTGTAGCAAGATCAAATATATGGCAATTACATTGTACTTGGAGTAGAGCTGTAGCAAGATCAAATACATGGTGATTACATTGTACTTGGAGTAGAGCTGTAGCAAAATAAAATACATGGTGATTCATTGTACTTGGAGTAGAGCTGTAGCAAGATAAAATACATGGTGATTACATTGTAATGTGAGTAGAGCTGTAGCAAGCTCAAATACATGGTGATTACATTGTACTTGGAGTACAGCTGTGGCAAGATCAAATACATGGTATTACATTGTACTTGGAGTAGAGCTGTAGCAAGATCAAATGTGTGGTGATTACATTGTAACTGGAGTAGAGCTGTATCAAGCTCAAATACATGGTATTACATTGTACTTGGAGTACAGCTGTGGCAAGATCAAATACATGGTATTACATTGTACTTGGTGTACAGCTGGAGCAAGATCAAATATATGGCAATTTCATTGTACTTGAAGTACAGCTGTAACAAGATCAAATGTGTGGTGATTACATTGTACTTGGAGTAGAGCTGTAGCAAGATCAAATACATGGTATTACATTGTACTTGGAGTACAGCTGTAGCAAGATCAAATACATGGTGATTACATTGTACTTGGAGTAGAGCTGTAGCAAGATCAAATACATGGTATTACATTGTACTTGGAGTACAGCTGTAGCAAGATCAAATATATGGTAATTTCATTGTACTTGAAGTACAGCTGTAACAAGATCAAATGTGTGGCAAATACATTGCACTTGGAGTACAGCTGTAGCAAGATCAAATACATGGTATTACATTGTACTTGGAGTACAGCTGTAGCAAGATCAAATACATGGTGATTACATTGTACTTGGAGTACAGCTGTAGCAAGATCAAATACATGGTGATTACATTGTACTTGGAGTACAGCTGTAGCAAGATCAAATATATGGTGATTACATTGTACTTGGAGTACAGCTGTAACAAGATCAAATATATGGTGATTACATTGTACTTGGAGTACAGCTGTAGCAAGATCAAATACATGGTGTTTACATTGTACTTGGAGTACAGCTGTAGTAAGATCAAATACATGGTGATTACATTGTACTTGGAGTACAGCTGTAGCAATATCAAATACATGGTGATTACATTGTACTTGGAGTAAAGGTGTAGCAAGATCAAATGTGTGGTATTACATTGTACTTGATGTACAGCTGTAGCAAGATCAAATACATGGTAATTACATTGTACTTGGAGTAGAGCTGTAGCAGGATCAAATGTGTGCTGATTAAATTGTACTTGGAGTAGAGGTGTAGTAAGATCAAATACATGGTGATTACATTGTACTTGGAGTACAGCTGTACAACAAAATAAATATGGTGATTACATTGTACTTGGAGTACAGCTGTAGCAAGATCAAATACATGGTGATTACATTGTACTTGGAGTACAGCTGTAGCAAGATCAAATACATGGTAATTACATTGTACTTGGAGTAGAGCTGTAGCAAGATCAAATGTGTGGTGATTACATTGTACTTGGAGTACAGCTGTAGTAAGATCAAATACATGGTGATTACATTGTACTTGGAGTAGAGCTGTAACAACATAATACATATGGTGAATACATTGTACTTGGAGTAGAGCTGTAGCAGGATCAAATGTGTGCTGATTACATTGTACTTGGAGTACAGCTGTAGCAAGATCAAATACATGGTAATTACATTGTACTTGGAGTACAGCTGTAGCAAGATCAAATACATGGTGATTACATTGTACTTGGAGTACAGCTGTAGCAAGATCAAATACATGGTGATTACATTGTACTTGGAGTACAGCTGTAGCAAGATCAAATATATGGTAATTACATTGTACTTGGAGTATAGCTGTAGCAAGATCAAATATATGGCAATTACATTGTACTTGGAGTACAGCTGTATCAAGATCAAATACATGGTGATTACATTATACTTGGAGTACAGTTGTAACAAGATCAAATGTGTGGTGTTTACATTGTACTTGGAGTAGAGCTGTAGCAAGATAAAATACATTGTACTTGGAGTACAGCTGTAGCAAGATCAAATACATGGTGATTACATTATACTTGGAGTACAGTTGTAACAAGATCAAATGTGTGGTGATTACATTGAACTTGGAGTACAGATGTAGTAAGATCAAATATTTGGTGATTACATTGTACTTGGAGTACATATGTAGCAAGATCAAATATATGGTGATTACACTTTACTTGAAGTTCATTTGTAGCAATATCAAATACATGGTATTACACTGTACTTGGAGTACAGCTGTAGCAAGATAAAATACATGGTGTTACATTGTACTTGGGAGTACAGTTGTAGTAAGATCAAATATGTGGTTATTACTTGGAGTACAACTGTAAGACGATGAAATACAATTTAATTACATTGTACTTTGAGTACATCTGTAACAAGATCAAATGCGTGATACCTAACGTCTGGTCGGAATACAACTGCTGCAAGAGAAACTACATCGTACTTAGGGTACATCTGTGAAAAGATAAAACGCTTCGCATTTACGTTGTATTAGGTGTACCTCTGCAAAAAGACACATCGCAATTACATTGTACGTGATGCGCATTTGAAAAGAGATAAACTATTTCCTAACTGGACTTGGAAAACGTCAGTAACAAGACAATGCATTGTAATTGCATTGGATTTGGATTACATTTGTAACAATTCCGATAACATACTGTATTTGGTATAAAACTGTAACAGGACAAAACATTATAAATTGCTCTGGGTAATTATAGTTGACTCTCTAGGTTTCATGCCCCGTTTATATGTATTGGAGAAACATTACGACGTGCATGTAGCTACCCCATTGCCTGGACCGTAACAAGACGATAATTATTGATATAGTGACAGATCTGTTCCAGCCTTTGATGATTTCAAGAAAGCGTTTTTCATTCTCTATCATCTAGACTATGCTCTGATCTTTGAAGAGACCTATTCAACACTATTAAATCCATATATGTCTTTATGAAGCCATGTGTGAGATGAAACGGTACATCTTTTAAGTGGTTGGAGTGAATCAGGGTTGTGTACTGTGTCCGGTGTTGTTTTTGCCGTTGATCGAGGATTTGGCAACAGCCATTTTAGATTTACCCGAAGGCTGGCTGGCTGGCTGAGTATGGTTTTACGCCGTTTTTAGCAATATTCCAGCAATATCACGGCGGGGGACACCAGAAATGGGCTTCACAAGTTGTACCCATGTGGGGAATCGAACCCGGGCCTTCGGCGTGCCGAGCGAACGCTACCCGAAGGAGTTACACAGCTCTGTCTGCCTGACCAACACCTGTAATGTTATGTTGTCTATCGAACAATGCTATTTTTATGTATGGCACGAGTGAGCGGTCTCTGAGCAAAAATGTTGATTTACTTTGTTCACAGAGCTTTCCGTTGGGTGGTGATATGGCTGAAATATTGCCCATGTGACTTCAAATATTCACTCACTCACAGTATGAAATGCTACAGGTACTTCGGTGCATGTATTACGGTGATAATAAACACATCGTTGCTATCTGTAGATATGTTACAAATATCTGTCTACCGCTGACTCCATCTGTAACCGTAAATCGGTTCACATTTTATCTTGTAACAGTATACCAGTTATATCACGGCATACCTGCGTAATGTGGGAGGAAATCCCGAAGTAATGCACTTGTCAGACGTGAACCACTTTCGTGAAATCTATGAGAAGGTTACTGACAAACCTAAAATCATTATCGGGACGAGACTCTCTTGTCATATTGCGATACAGAAATTAGAAAAATCCTTCTGTATGTGTGAGTGAGTTTAGTTTTACGCCGCACTCAGCAATATTCCAGCTATATGGCGGCTGTATGAATGAGTTTTGGGATTATCAAAGTGTCGAGACGATTGAAAATGGTTTAACTTCACTTTTATGAGATGTCTTAACAGAGGCGGGATGATGAGGTATCCTTGTGGTTAAAGCGTTGGCTCATGAACCCGGTGTAACAGGCCAGAGTATACCCCTGTCCCAGACTATACCCGGGGTTAAACTGGGCTAGCCCGGGGTATAATCTGGTGGGGGTTATTCTGGGCTGCTACACCGGGTTCGGTTTCCACATAGGTACACTGAGTGAAGCCCATTTCTGGTGTCCCCCGTCGTGATATTGCTGGAATATTGCTAAAAGCGGCGTAAAACCATACTCACACACATGATAGAGACGTTTGTATACTGACAGGGTGCACAACCGCTAGTATTTAGCTTGATGACGTAAGTCTACTAGGGGTCTTGCCACTCCACTCCAAAGTGGAGGGATATGCTTGGTAACGTTGCTTATTAACATATCTTTGTTGTATCGTTACGTGCTTGTATAGTCTGTTTGCGGTGAAAACGTACCGATGAATTTCACTTTAAACAAAAAAATATATCAAATAAAGTGAAATTAAGATTACAAATCCTCATAATTTTACCTTGCCATTTGAAAATTTAAATCTCAGAATTTTATTCAACTTAGGATAAAAGTAGTTTTACAAACGATCATTGTTTCAAATCGGTATTATTGGTTTGTATTACAATGGGCTATGCACATTAAATGAAACACCGAGAACAAGGAGGGTTGGTCTAAGTTAACGCTTATCACTTACCGCACGTGTATTTGTTTCACTGTTCCAACTACTGCCCTTACCCCCTTGTAATACAAACCAATATAAGCGATTTGAAACTATGATCGTTTGTTAAACAACTTTTTTCCTAAGTTGTATAAAAGTCTAAGATTTAAATTTTCAATTGGCAAGGTAGAATTATGGGGATTCGCAATCTTAATTTCACTTTATTCCATTTACATTTTTGTTTAAAGTGAAATTCACCGGTACGTTTTCACTGCAAACAGACTATAGCTACTAGGACTCTGTTAACACAGCTAGTTGAATCAAACAATGCCGATGTTGAAGTTGAACCTACTCGGTTGTTCATCAATTACATTGGGAGTATGTGGTTCCTTCCAGCCATTTCTTAAAGTGATTAAATATTGGTTAAATTTCCCATTCATCCCACAACAACATCACATGGTAAAGAATACATATTATGCGACTTAGATTCTGCAGGGATACACAATTGTGTGTCATGTAGCATTAAATCCCCTCCAATTAAACCACGGCAGCTTTTAGCAAAATCACAGCAGCAGAAATGAGCTTCACCTGTTTGTACCCACGTGGGGAATCGAACCCGTGTTTTGAGGGTGACAATCGATTGCTCCACAAGCTAAGCCCCTGTCTCGGTCACGTGAGTACCATACGGTTAAGTTTCGGCCGTCATGTGACTATATTTAAGCTACATTTTATTATTATTATTATTAATTTCTATTTAGGCTATACTTAGCATAAACATCGCAGGTACATCCCCAGTCTAACGCTTAGTCTCTGAATACATATAATTTTGATAAATAAACAAAACAATACCTTAGAAGTTTTAAATTGAAAAGTAACCCCAGTGTGATGGGAGATTCAGAACCTGTACCTGAAAAAAATCTAGATTTGCTTCATTTAGGGCTTTAGCACTGCAGAGAGGGCTAGGCTGTTGGGAGAATAATACGGTTCAAGGACTGTGAGACAGATAGGTAAATCTCCAGGTTGCGCACGAAGTGAATAAAGAAAGCAAAATCGTGTAGGTGTATTATTTGAACAGCTATTGTCCAGGTTTCCTTTTAATACAACCGCTGTGCCGATTCTCACCCTTTTTCTCCGAACCCCGCAAATGTATTTTTCTTGATATTATGTTAGAAAATGGAACCAGTGTAATTGTTGGCGTCATTGTATAATGGTGAGTGAGCGAGTATGGTTTTACGCCGTTTGTATTAACATTCCAGCAATATCACGGCGGGGGACACCAGAAATCCGCAACACATTGTACTTATGTGGGGAATCGAACCCAAGTCTTCGGCGAAGTGACGAGCGAACGCTTTAACCATTAGGCTACCCCACCGCCTCCCTTGCATAATGGACGCGACCGGCGAAACACCAATATATACAAGCCTTATATACAAATACAGTTCAAAGTGAATTGCATCGAACCAATAGGAAACGTTTTTGAAATATCAAATAACAAATTAAACAAATACCATAATAAAATTCCCTTTTGTCCACTATATATATTCTGTCATGCCGGAATATGTCATTTCGTTTTACTTTGTTTCGCGTTTTTATTCCCTAAGTCTTATTTTAATAGACTGTTCGTTTCATTGGACACTGAAGGCGTGTATGTTCTTGTTGTATATCCAGCGTATACTCCGAGAGCAGACGGTCTGTGGTTCGACTCTCAGGTTGCTTCGTACCAAAAGACGTTTATAACAAATTCATACTTGTCACCCTCACTTGTGTTCCGCATTTTTGGTGTACAACAAGGACTGTTCAGCTCGTGGTTAATACATTGTCTCAGTTGCGTATGCATGTTAAACAGGGGCATAGTATGAAATACACAATGTCATTTAGAAATTGGTCAAATGTAACATATGTTATATTTGGGATTACACTTTCTTAGTAGAGTACAGATTCTAGTACTTTTGTTGGGTTGAGTCCCATCCGGGATTCGAACCCACACCCTCAGAGTCAGGCCCCTAATCGCCAGCACACAAAGTCAGACGCCTAGACCGCTCAGCCACCGCGGCTTCCACAAAAATGGAAGTCGGACAACTGGTATTTTAGACTGCGGACTTTGTGTACCCCTCTGATAAGTGTTAATTGGCACGGCTCCCACGGCCGAAAGCTATGAAATACACAATGCCATTTAGAAAGTGGTCAAATGT